ATGGGATGGTTTGGGCACAGCGTGGGACACCAGTTCTGGCTGCTGGGGTGGGAGCAGTGACTCTGCAGGGTGTGGGGGATGTGGGACCAAAGCTCAGCCCAGGCCCAGCTCTAACCTGTCTCCTATCACTCTGCCAGCTCTGAGCACATTAACCCCTTTTGCACTTGCTCCCATCGCAGAAAATGAAGGGCCCCGAGGTGATCAGCTTCATAGAGCAGGGCAAGCGCATGGACTGTCCCCAGGAGTGCCCAGCAGAGATGTATGCCCTGATGCAGCAGTGCTGGACATACAAGTGAGCATTTCAGCACGGTGTCAGCTCCACCAGAGCCACCAGATCCCAGAATGGGATTGGAAATTAGGAAGTTGGAAATTGTAAAGGACCTTAAAGGCCATCCAGTCCAACCCCCTGCCATGGGCAGGGACACCTTCACTGTTTGCATGGTGACAGCACGAAGAAAATGGGGTCTCCTGCCTTTGTTTGTGATGATTCCCCAGCCCAAGATGAATTTGTCACTATCAGACCCCCCCCATTTACCTGTGCCAATCCTGGAAGATCCCCAAGGCTCGGTGTTTTTGACCCTCTCCATCCCAAAATTGTCTCGGCTGCCTCCTAAGCCCTGGCACAGCCAGGCTGCTGCTGTTCCCCAGGGTCTCTGTGTATCCTCTCATTGCATCAGGCCACTTTTGTCCTCTCTCCTGACTTTATTTGTTCCTCTCTGCCCTTGCAGATGGGAAGAACGTCCAGGATTTGTGGCTGTGGAAAACATCATCCGCTCCTACTACTACAGCATCGCTGCCAAGCCCGAAAATGGGCCAGACACAGGGGACAAGGCCAAAGCAGCTCTTCCTTGAGATTCCTTCTCTGCTCCTCCACCTGCCCTGTATGGACCTGGAAAGGCTCTTTGTGAAGTTTTGCTTTCATCTCTCAAATGCTCCTCAGCAGTTGTGGAACTGAGGGTGTGGGGGACGTTGGTGTCCCCACAGCCAGGGACACCCAGCTGTGCTCCCAGCTGCTCCAGCCTGACCCAGCCCGGGAGAACAGACTCTCAGAGCTCCTTCCCACCCAGTTCCAAAGCTGCCCCAGGATCCCAGAGCTTTGTGCCTCCCAGGCTCACTGAGGATGAACTGTGTTGGCTCCAGAAAATCTGAATTTTTCCAGATTTCCCAGGAATGCTTTCTCAGGACTCCACCAAGTGCACATTTCTGGTGGGGTTTGCACGGGGTGGGACCCAGCACAGGCAGCCACAGTGTCCTTATCCCCTTGGATTAGGGCAAGAAGCAGCTGGTTTGCAACTGGGATGGGGAGCAGCAGTGGGACAGAGCTGGTCCCACTGGTTTGTCCCCCTGCACCCCTGGCCAGCACAAAGCAGGTGTCACCCAGCCCTCCAAGGTGGCTCCCAAACAATTCCAGGACCATTCCTTTAGCTCCTGGGTCCCACCTGGCCCCTCTGTGCTGATGAAGTGTTGTTTTTCAAGCTTAAAAACTTAAAAACCCTATAAATAAACTATTCCATGTTCTGAACATCCCATGGCTCAGATCATTGAACTTTGAGAAATGCTGGCAAAACCCATCAGGATAAGAGAACCCTCCAACGCTGCGTTTTTAGTGTCAGAAAATTGTTTTATTCTCAGCTCTGGGTGTGGATGGGGCTGACAAAATCCCAGCCTCCACACAGCCCCCGATCCAAAACTTCCTCACCTTTTTATACATTTTTAGCAAACAAAGCAGTGAATGTTCATTGCAGCATATCAAGGTTAGCTCAACAAACTTTACAGTTTTAGTCATTTTTCCAGGCTGTGTTCCCACAAAAGGAGCTTTGCTATATGCTAAAAGTAATTTAAGAACAACACATTGTCTGTAATTAATATATTGGTTATGATTAACTAAAGCTTATTTTAAAAGTTTTATCATTTCCCACAGGCTGACAAGAAAATAAATGTAATTTCCCTCTATTAAGCCAGGATTTCCCTCCTTAACGCTCCTCTTGCCCAACTTTGGGCTGGTTTTGCTGCACAGCTGGAAGGTTTTCTGCATGTTTTCTTGCAAAAAAAAAAAAAGTCTCAGCTGTGTCTGCTGTGATCCCAGCTGCCCCCAGTGCAGGGATGGCCCGTGGTGGGGGCTGTGCTGCACAGAGCAGAGGCTGTGAAGGCTGGGGCAGCGGAGGAAGCAGGAGGTGGGAGCCCTGCGATGCAGCAACACCAGAATTTATCTCTCACCATCTCCTGGTAGTTAAAGCCACAGATCAGCTCCCCCCCCAGCACCTTGTCCTGGGGGAGAACAAACAGCCTCAGGCCAGGGCACAGCCAAAAGCCTCGGTGAGAGTGGGATTTGGGCTGAAAACAAAATTCTGGGGAGCACTCAGGTAATTAACCTTATCAACATCTAATTAACCTCTGTCCCAGCAATCACTGAGCCAGGTTTGATGAAGAACAAGCCCTAAGTTTCCTTGATTAGAGAGACACCAACTCTTCATGTGGCATTTTCTCTCTCAACCCCATCTTAACACCTTGTCCTGAATGTTGAACTCTGGATATTTCATCCCTCCCAGCAGAGAGGAAAGCAGGTATCCAGGAGAACCTGCCTTGTTCCTGTTTATTCAGTCACTTCGTGCAGAGACAGGAAGAAATTCTCCTCTCTGTCATGTTTTCCTCCCAGAGAAAGAAGCTCTTTAGCTGGAAAAGAGAAGGCTCAATGTGCTTTCTACTTGAAAGCCACTGCCAAAATATTTTGTTTAGACTTTGTTTTCAAAACAAATCCACTTTCTGGTTTGAAATGGTTTATTGCAATAACTTTCAGTTAACTGGACATTCCTCTATTTTTTTTTTTTCAAACAGAGAAGGAAAGCACCAGAGAAGTATTCCCAGAGAAACTTCTGCTTTAGCTGGAGACAGTTTTGAGTGTGTGTATAGAGGCAGGACATAAATCCCTTGGGATTATGCCAGAGGACCAAGGGAAAGGGTTTATCCTGCCTGGGCTGGGGATGATTTGGGTTGGAAGCTGTTGGAGCATTGGAAAATATCCGGAGCTGCTGGAAGGGGAAAAAGGAGTGAGACAAGCAGGACCTGAAGTCACAGGGCTCCTGTGAATCTTTGTGATTCCTGCTTTTGGGATGTGCAGGGTCTGAGAGTGATCCATGAGGGGAACTTGCTTGGAATTGAGGTCCTGATCATCCCCACTCTGCCATTCCAGGGGGACTCAGCCCCCCCAGTGGGAACATCTCCAGGTCTGCAGCCTCTCCCCTCTCCCATCCACAGCAGGGGTTTATCCAGCCCTGCCTCTCTCCCCACTCCCTGCTGCAGGTGGAACACCCTGCTGGACCTCCAGCCCCTTCCCTGTCTGATCCCAGGGATCTGGGCTGGGATAAGAGCTGTCACTGATAAAGGCAGCACTCGAAGAGCTCAGACTCGGAGCTCTGTGGCCGCTGCTCATCTTCCAGAAACTTCCCCAAATCCTCTCTTTTCTTCCTTCCCTCCATCCCTGCACTCATCCATCTCCCTCTGTTTTACCCAAACCTTTCAGGCTCTGGAATTTTCCACTCTCCGTGTTGTGAGGGAAGGGATGAACTTCACCTTCTGAGCATGCACAGCGATACCGTGACAGGGCTGGGACTCATCTGATCATCACTGGGACACCTCATCAGATCCCCCAGCCTGATCTGCCTCATCCCCACCTATCTTATCAGCAGCACACCTATCTTATCACCAGGACCCCTATCCTGTCACCAGGACAGGCCTGGTTATCACTTGCACACAGCACAAGGACAATTTGGTTTTTTAATCAACAACAGAAACCCTGGAAAAGCAGAGAGGTGCTGGCACTGATCCTCCTGGGACTCTTCCAGATTGATGATGTGTTGGAGAGTAGGAAATTCATCCTCACTCATCTCTTCCAACTTCCAGAGATCCCCATGCAGGGACAGGAGCACCCTGTGGGGTGGGGACAGGCAGTGGGACACTGCTGGCAGGAGGTGCAGAGAGCATTGATGACACCCATGTCACAAAGAGAAGCTGTTCCTGTCCCCAGCTGCCACCAGCCAGCAGAGGCAGGGACAGTGGCTCCAGCAGCTCATTCTCTGGGCTGGTTCTTGTGGCCATCACCAATGAGCTTTGGCCACTGGGAGATGTCCCAGGGTGTCCCCCTGGCCTCTGCTCTTCTGGGGCCTTGTTCTTACAACCTGGAGGATTTGTGGGTACCCAGGAATTTGGCTCTTGAGGTCCCCTTGGGTCCCATCCTCCTCCTCCACTTCTGGACTCTCCCCCTGTGACCTCCAACTCTCCTCCCTGTGACCTCCATCTCTCCCTCCTGTGACCCCCAGCCTGGGCTTGTGGCTCTAGGACAGGGTGAAGGATCCTCAAACTGAGCAGAAAAACAATTGTGTGTCAACAGGTTAAAAAAACACCTTCAGTAAATACATTTTGCAATTAAATCAATTAATTAAATTGCTCTACACAGTCACTGCTGGAGGAGCTGCTTCTCTTTGCTGCCCTGGCTGCTCCATCAGCTGGGAAATGCTGTGGCCACAGCTCCAGGAAGGGCAGGGCTGTGTGGGCAGGGGTTGGGGGCCCATCCAAGGACCTGGCCAGGCCTTGCTTTGTTTCCACCGAAAGCTCTGATGGAATAAAAACCTTTCCTCAGAACTCTTCAGTTGGGCCTCCTCAGTTCTCAGGTGGAAAATTCCTGCCCAACCCAAGTCATTTATTGCTGGGGTCAGGGAGTAGGTGTAGAGCACGGTCCTGGCAGGGCTGTGCCACTTCCCACATCCTTTGGTGTGATGGAAACAAGGATGTGGTGGAGCAGCTCCTTCCCCAGATCTACAGAATCCACGTGCCACATCATCCTGGGCAGCATTTGGGCCACGTGCCAGTGAACTTTGGGAAATGCACTTGAATGAAAAATACTCAACAGCCCTTGACCTAAAAAGAATAAAAAAATCCTGTCAATGTGAGAAGCATCAGAGGTGGGGGTTGATACCTCCTTATCTTCCCTTAGGGAACAAGGGATGGGATGAGAGGAAATGGCCTCAAGCTGCTCCAGGGGAGGTTTAGATTGGATATTGGGTGGAATTTCTTCATGGAAAGGGTGGTCAGGCATTGGAAGGGACAGCCTGGGGCAGTGGTGGAGTCACCATCCCTGGAAGTGCTCCAAAGACCTTTGAGTGTGGCACTTGGGGACCACGGTGCTGTTGGGTTGATGGTTGGACTTGATGATCTTAAAGTTCTTTTCCAAATTTAATTCCATGATTCTGTGTGGAATTCTGTGATCCTCTGATTTATCCCTCTGCCTTTCTTGCTGTGACTCCAGAAATATACAGCTAATCCTTTGGGAATTTGCCTTATTTCTGCACAGCAATGCCTCAATGTGAAATAAATATTCATTAATTTGCAGGGTTTAGCACATTTTGTTCTACTGCAGCAAACCTCACAGAAAATGATGACTTTATTTGTTATTAAGAAGCACCTGTGCAAGAGACACCTTCAGGAAGGTGTCTGTGGTAAAAATATAAGGGAATCAGAGAAATAAGGGAATCACAAAATCTCCTGCCTTGCTCCAGCTTTTTAAATTGAAAATTTATCTGGTAGATATTCACCAACTTAAAAAGCAAAATAAAAATACTGATTGGAAAAAAAGCGGTTGCAATGATTAATAAAAGATAAAGCATCTCTTCCAGCCAGTGGAAAAGGGGAAAGTATTTTCTTTTATGTATTTTTGCTTTAACAAAGAAGAGAAAAAAGGACGGAAAATATGTTTGGTGTACCAAAACTGGGTTAAAAGCAGACACGGGAAGGCAGATACTGAATCCTGCCAGCAGATCCCCAAATTCAGCACCCATTTTCCCAAATGTGAAGCAGCAAAGACTCGGCAAAGAGGAAAAAACACTGTACAGAAGGCTGAGAGCTGCTATTTAGGGCAGCCTGTTTAACACCCCAGAGCTGTGCTGGCACAGTCAGAAAAATCACAACTGAACTGACACTGGGAGGAGCTGCAAAGACACAGCAAAGGTGGGGAACAGGCAGAGCAGCTGCTAAGTAA